TATGTATGTATCTATGTATGTGTGTATATGTGTGTGTGTATATGTATGTATATGTATATGTATATGTATATGTATATGTATATGTATATGTAGATAGATAGATAGATAGATAGATAGATAGATAGATAGATAGATAGATAGATAGAGAGATAGATATATAGATAGATAGATAGATAGATAGATAGATAGATAGTCACTCACTTAAGGCTTTATGAGGTCTGTTTTCATACCCATCCCTGCCCATTTCAACTTGAACCCTGCCCCTCCCCTTCGTTTCTGCACACCCTGGCAAATTATATATGCAAGGATCAGAAACGCTTTCCATTCTCCTCCAGGAGACGTTTGCATAAAACACAATATGGTCTTAGCTCTGCTGGATGCCAATCAATGCCAGCTTTTTCAAAACATATTTCGACAAGGACATCCATAAACTGCTCCCGATGCAAATGATTTCACACGTCGGAGGCCTCTATTTTTAACGGGTGCTTTAATTATACACTCTCTGATGCTATGAAACAGACGTACTTATCGCTCATCTTGAACTATCAGCATTTGTACAATACATATCCACACTAAACCAGGGGTCCCCAACCCCCCTCCCCGTCTGTGACTGTAGCTGTATCTTTGGGAGACTGGTTCCAAGTCCCTTCTCGGGGATGCTGGAAAATGTGGATGATAGCGAACGCTACTATAATATCAAACACTATACATAGCATGGTTTCTGGTTCCCTCTAGTGATCTGTTCTGGGAATTACATTGTGGAAATATATTTCTCTAGCAAACACTATACACAGTATAGTCTCTGCCTACCTCTAGTGCTCTAGTGGCCAGTCGTTGTGTTCCAATGGGCTAAAAACTCACTGTCCAGCAAAGATCCTCCATATGGCGGCCATTTTCAGTGCCTGTATAGTGAGGAATCCATCCCTAATCACAGCGGGGAGCCATTTTAAGCACCCGGTGGCCATTTTGAAAACCCGACGATCAGTTGTTTTGATTGTCGTTAAGCGAAGAATCGGTTCCCGAAGCAGGGAACTGATCATCGGGAAGCGAAAAAACCCTATTTAAAAGATCATTTTGAAAAAGATCATTGTGAAGCGGATTTGTCGTAATGTGGGGTAATCGTTAAGCAGGGCATGACTCTAATATCAAACACTATACATAGCATGGTTTCTGGTTCCCTATAGTGATCAGTTCTGGTAATTACATTGTGGAACTATATTTCTCTAGCAAACACTATACAATACACAGTATAGTCTCTGCCTCCCTCTAGTGCCCAGTACTGGTAACTTAATATTTAGAAATATATATTTCTAGGATTTTTCTTTTAATGTTTTTGGTATTTTCAGACTGTGGACAAGTGAATCAGTGGATACTGATCCTGTGGATAAATGGGCCATGCCCTATGAGGAATTTTACTTCACTAGCATTTGTTCACCTATCTATTTCAATATTTTACAGCAGTCCAGACAAATGGAACTTTCTTCTGTCCTTTCCTGTGTCCCATGTCACATATTTATCGTAACTGATTACACATAAAACTGGCAAAGTTTGAGAAATCAAGGGATTAGATTGTCCTTGTGCTGGGCTGATCAACAGGAGCCAATTCTTTATCCTACAATTCAAGGCTTTTATGTGTGGATCAAGAATTTCTGATATTTCCGGACCCTATTTGGCTGTTTTCAATCCTAATGTAATTTGTGTACCCAGACGGACACACTTTTAAAATGCTCCCTGTTACATCTTGGCTACATCTCAAGAATCCTCATACTCTTCTGCAGATATGGAGAGTCAAAATACAATCAAGGGAAACCAATGCTTATTTTACTTCTGTTTCACCCCCCACCTCTATCTCACACCCCTTCCTCTTTTTTTGTGTTGTGCATTGCGTTTTTGCTTGTAAGCTCCATGACTTTGCTCCTTTCAAAGCATTAAACTTCTTGTTATTATTTCTCCTTATGTGCTGGCAAGTCATCTCCAACTTATTTTGTATTTTTAAACAAAACAACCAGAAAATGATCCAGGACATAGGGGAAAAAAAACATTTTATCATTTAATTATGCATCGCTGGAAAGGGATGAAGACAGTCTCTGTGGAACTGTGCGTCCTTTTAAAACTGGCTTTGTCTTTTAAGATGTCTCAAGACCCTGTGTTGTTTTCTTTGCTACCCCTTCCGTTTAGAAGCCAGAGTTCTGGGTTTGGCAAGGAGTGCTATTTCTTCCATTTTCATTTTGGAACACATTTCTGTTGGTGTGATACAGGCACACAACCCCTAGAGGTTGCTGTTGATCCAGAAATTAATAGAAGAAAAAGAAATGTACACAGATGCTGCACAATTAAGGGTGCGACTAGACAGCCAAATTGGATTGGGCTGGATCAGGCGAAACAGGGTCGCTGAAGGTCGCATAAAAGTGCGGTGTGCCATTTGGAGCAAACCTTGCGATCACATGTGAGAGTTTGGGGGCAGGAAAACACACTGCATCTCCACTTACCCTATTTACTCTGTTCCTCTTTTTAAAGGAAAAGAAAAAAAATAACCATAAAATCCCCCTCCTTGCCACCTCCTGTGTCCTATTTTGTGGGGGAGTGGGAGGAAGTTTTCAATTTTTTTTTCAAGTGGCAAAGGGATGGATTGGCTTATCAAACAACCAATTCAATGCTGGATTTCAAGAGCCTTTTAAAAAACAGCAACACCCTTTGCATCCTCTTCTGTTTCCCCCTCTGCTAGGAAGTGGGAGGAAACTTTCAATAAGTTGTTATACTGTGAAGCAGCTTAAGCAAAGTGACAGCAGTCATCACACAGACTGCAGACCAACCAAAATGAAGCCATTCTACCTTCATAAAAAAACCAAAAATAAATAAACAACACCCCCCCCAAAAAAAACAGGAACACCTCAGTAGCCCCCCAAAAAATTATGGATAGGTATGCTGGATAGCTCAGTGGCTTTGGGATCTGATGATGGAGCCTGAGGTTGGGAGTTCGATTTCTCACTATGCCTCCTTGTTAGGAGTTGGGTTCATTGATCCACAGGGTCTCTTCCAGCTCAGGATGAGGATGAGGATGATTTTCATCAGGGATGGGCAAGGCCACAATCCCTGGTATGTCAAGTGGACACCAGGAAAAAAAGAGCAAATCACCCTCTCAGCAAAGTAGACCAAGCCATGGGATCAATCCCTGTCGGATTGTCTCCTCATCGAAGTCCACGGCATCAGACGATGGTGCTTCTTCCATAAAGCGCCCAACGCTACACCCGTGTTTCGCCACTGACTCCAGTGCAACTCCCCGTTTTCTGCTCTCTGTCCATCTTTCCTTTTCCAAATAATGGAGAAAAACAGGCCCCTCAGATCGTCCCCTCTCTCATATGTCATATGAATTTATAGATATAAACACACACATTCACACGTATCTGTTGTTCTATAGGCCATCAAGTGGGAACCAAATTATAGGCAACTCTTATAAGCGAGGGGGTTTCAGGAGTGTCTTCTCCATTTCCACTCCCCCAGGCCATTTATACGGCCGAGATGGAATTCAAAGGCACGGCCCCCCTGAGTTCTAGACCACCCATTTCTCTGTCCACTAAACCACACAGAGCATCCACCCTCTTGGTGGACAGAGAAATGGGTGGCTTAGGACTCGAGAGATGGGAATCATCTTTCTAGACACAGATGTATATGTATATATGTGTGTATATATGTGTGTTTGTGTATACACACATACATATATACATATATATGTGTGTGTGTGTGTATACACACATACATATATACATATATATGTGTGTGTGTGTGTATATACAGACACACACACACATATACACATACACACACATATTTATAAATTTGTACACACAAACACACACACATAACTTCAGATAAACACACACATAATTGCTACACACACACATCAGTATTAATGCATACACACACACACACACACACATATATATATTTATTTTATTTCATTAGATTTATGCCCTGCCCATCTAGACCAAAGATCTACTCTGGGCAGCATATATACATACATACATATATATAATTAAATAAATAATAAATATATACACACAAATAAAGATGTGTGTGTGTGTGTTCATATGTATACCCAGGTATAAATGTGTATGCACACGAACATGCCTAACTTCATACACGCACACATAATTGCTACACACATAAATGCATATACAGTATAAACATGTATTTGTGTGTGTATACACCCATCCATCCATATACATTTACATATGCATTTATGTGTGTGGGTGTATAATTGACACACAAATATATAAAACTGCGACCCACACACATATAGGGCGAGTCATAATGTGGGTGTATAATTGACACACAAATATATGAAACTGCTACACACACACACACATATAGGGCGAGTCATACGGGTGTCTACATTCCC